GTTCTCCTCTATAGTTGGAAATGGTGGTCTTAAGTGAAAATCGGATAAGTATACTTTGAGTGCAGTACACTGACGAAGACTTGAGCGTGACTGAGGTGGTTTGGGTACCTTCCTCGACGTTTACCTCATGAGCTCAATGCTATCATCCAGATCGAACGCCAATCTCTGTACCTGGAGACGTCAAAATGTAGGTCAACGAAACACCTGTTTCGACGCAATTTTACTAGATATAGAGTAGTTTGAACCATTGTTTTTCCGGATGAAATTGAACAAGGCAAAGATCACGAGATTAGCAGGATTTACTGAAGTCATATAATTTCGCGACCTCTTACTCAACTGCAAACGGCGGTTGCCTCTTAATAAGGTAATTAACTGTTCAATTGGGTGTCGGCCTAGAAGGGTGAAACTTGATAGGTAAAGCTATTAATTTTAGATGTGGGCACATGATGAGGGGGTAGAGGAGCGGAAGGTAGCTGTCACAGCATAGCAGTTCATGTTCATGAAAGCCTGCGGTAAGTGGTTAATGGAAGGTATGGAGGGGGGCGGAGAACAGGGTAGCAGCCAGTCCTAAAGGGGATGAGGAGGCGTGAGCGGGAATGAGTTTATCGATCATTACCACAGCAATCCGAGGTTCATCACATAATCCAGTGTCTTGGTTCCTCGGTATTCTGGCTCTGAAAGACGAAATGGATCGAGCGCTCCAAAGCCGCTGCCGCAGGAATTAGGGCGTAAATATCTGGACGAAATTTAATAAAATTCAGAAGTCCACCTAAAAAACCACTTGTGTAGACCGATTCAGGGATATGTCCGAACGAATTATCAGACCTGCACTCGTTGCAGTACAAGGGCGGTCGTGATTAATTAAACTGTCATCCAGGTTGACGCATTTAACTAATTAGTGAAGGCGCGTTTACCCCACAGCATCTTCTTTCTCTTCCTTTCCGCTGTTTAACGGCATGCTCAGTCCGAACACGACTACTATGTGTGCCTTGAAAGCAACAAGCAGTTGTCTTTCGTCTATTTGTACTATTCTATGCTTTTCATTGCTTTTAGAGAATGAATATTTGTGAAAACAACTTGACAATGTTAAAAGGGAACGAAATAACAGATGTTAGTAGAGCATGGAGGGACAGGGAAGAGCGCTTTTAGTACGTTCATTATCATAAATCTGGTGCCACTGGTCGCTCTACATATGCTACTGATGCTTTTCCGTGGGTTTTTGAATACTGACTAGCTACAGAAATCCTAATAGTGCCTACTTTCAACGATAAATTTACCGAAACTGTTCTTTCCCAAATTGTCAAGTGTTATTGTCGTGCTAAAGGTGGCTCATGCTAGGAAAATCCTTAAACAACAGTTAAGAGATAAGGGGCATAGTTCTGTCAGGCTG